AGATCTGGCAATCCTAACTCAATTTCCTTATCGCTCTTTACCTAAGATGACTGTTCGTGGCTTTGACTGCACAAGCCTTTACTCGAAGGGAGTCTTAGGTCCTAATCCTCTTACTCTTGCACGCTCTATCTTTTTCAAAGTATGTATAGTAGGCGTATAGTCTTATAATTATGGTACTTGATTTAACTAAGAGTAGATAGCCCAAAAAAACTTCCTTTTTCTTTAACTGATTAGCTATAAAGTTAAGTAGGCGACTACTAAGGTCTGCTATTATATAAGCTAGGCTTTAATATAGTAGAAGAGATACTTTGGGATTAGATAGCTATATTTAACGAGAAGGAAAAAATAGCAGATAAGGAGCTTTCTTAGTAGAAAAAGGCTCTAGCTATATATGTAAAACGGGCTTGGTAACGTTAGTAACGTGTTCCACCAGAAAGTGGCCCACACCACTTCGTGGCCCACCCCAAAAACCTACCAAAAATGGCCAAAACAGCATGTTGAGATCTCAACCACAGCTAGATTCTCATATAAACAGGTCTTAGAGAAAGCTTTCTAGTGCTATTAGAAAGTAAATTCTAGAGTATAAGTGTGTAGACTATAGTCAATCTCTTAATCTCGAGTTTTAGTCAAGATTTGGGGGCTAAAAGTGAATATCTCGATAACTATAACCTTAATATATTCTACACTCCTAGAAAATACTCTAAGTAGGGAAAAAGACTATATACTAACTCTAGATCCATAATATACAGCCGTGGTTGAGATCTCAACATGCTGTTTTGGCCATTTTTGGTAGGTTTTTGGGGTGGGCCACGAAGTGGTGTGGGCCACTTTCTGGTGGAACACGTTAGACTAGCAAGAGCTTAGTAAGCCGTGAGAGGCCTAAATGAGTAAGAAGAAAAGGAAGGCTTCGAAGGCTTGATATAAGAGGGGCTTTAGATACATAGATATAACTAGATTATAATCCGCTACGAATGTTAATAACACGTGAATTTTAATAGTGATACTTAGCTAAAGAAAGCATAGCATTCATTTGAAAAGTCCGAATTAATGCTGTGGTCAATATGTCTGTGATGAAGCGTTGAGCCTAGCATAGCTGGCGGAGTTCGCGGATGAGCTAGCGGCGGATTTTTTTTTGGTTGGGCTGCATACAAACCGCAGCGAGCTAAAGTAATCGTTTTGTATCATGATGTACATCTGTCATTCAAAATGTGGCAAATCTGACTCGCTAATGTACTTAAGCGTCAATTGGTACCCGTGCGCATTTATTAGGGGTAGCATGTGCGGCCAATTCCTTCGTGGAAACAAGAAATTCCTTGAGCCACTCCAGCAAAAGAAATACCTTCGTAATCGGCCAGATTGAACGGACGGCACGCGATCCAGATCCCAGCACGTGTCTCGGCTGACTTAACTTTACTAGGCATGTAAGCCCGCAATACGTCTGTGGGTTGTAGATCTGCGAGGGATAGCTTGCAATCGAGCCGGACGAGAGTAATCAGAAGATAATTCCGAATAGTGCCGAGAGGCGACTACTTCTAAACAGGTTCTTGCAACCTCAACGAAACGGAGCATGGCGGTGGCAATGACAATTTGATCTATGACTGCCGCTGTGAGAGGGACGGTGTATATGGCATACAAACTCATACATGAACCTATTCCCGTTCTAAGCAAGATACGGTGGTTCAGCGCTAGTAGGACTTATCCAAGTGGCGAAGAAAATATCAAAAGGGATCAAAGAGAAGCCCAAAACAGCCTGGTAGGCAGTGGTTGGGCACTGACGCGGAAGTCTTGACAGTTACTACCATGTGAACTCGTCATGGGTGGCCAAATGCTAGACAGCCTCTACGTGATCAGGACAACTGTGAATCACGTAAACAAAGCTTAGTGTGGAATTTATTGCAAACACGCTATCAGTCCTGATTTACTTACTCACTGGAACTATCTTAGTGTGCTTGATCCTACTCGCCTTAGAAGAGAGAAAGGGTTCATTATTTGGCTACTTACTGGGCCTCCCCCCAGTTCGTCGGAAGACCCTGCCTGGCGTTTGGGCACCGTGACGAGTTTAGACGAGTATACTCTCAAGACTTGAGATGAAACACGTGGCTTCGGCCATATGGCCGGTGAGTTCTGACTTGCCTGCGTGAATGATACCCAACGTACTACAGAAAGGGCGATAAGTACTTCGTTCCGCACGATTCCAGCGCAGATGAACCCATTTCATCTTTCCATACCTCACTATGTCGACCACAACAATCTCCATCTATGTTGTGCCTCTCAAATCCACCATATCGCGCGCGATATGCACTGTTTTTCAGTGGAAAATATTTGGGATCGTCTTAGTCTTCCTGTTCTCCGTGCAGGTTATTAAGATGATTTATTACACGAACATTCATCCACTACGGGCAGTACCTGGACCTTGGATCAGCTCAGCAACCTCCGCATGGATTCGATGGCAGAGATGGCATGGGCAGCTGTCATTTGAGGCGGATAAGCTCATGACTAAATATGGGCCCATTGTCAGAATCAGTCCGAATCTGGTCATCCTGAACGACTCTGAGGCCGTTGAAAGAGTCTTTGTAAGGAAGGATCTAGACACTTCTCCAACATCTATTCGTGCATTGCGCGTTGGCGGCAACGACTGGACTGTCACATATCCACAGCACCCGATCGCACGGCAACGACGCCACCCCGTCATGATCGCTACAACAACGAAACACCTCAAGTTCCGGCATCAAGTTTTCATCGATAATATTGAGGCTATGGTTCGGCATCTGGCGGGATCAGATGGGGCGAAGTCAGAGGATATTGTATATCACCTTCGCATTTGTACCCTGAAGAACTCGCAAGTCATCATGGGAGGTTCAGAAGTGAACCTCGATCACAGTGACTTTCCTCGCGTTGTTGGAGAGTATAACTTTCTAGTAGTCTGGAGACTATGTCTTCCAGAATGGCTGTTTGGCTGGCTACAATACGGTCCATTTCCGGATCCCCGGTTCCGGGTTCAATCAAGTGATAAGCTCTTCGACCTAGGCGAAGAGCTGTGTCGACAAGCTGCGGCAGGCCAAGATACGTTCGAGGATGATCCCAGCATCTACAAGCTATTCACCGACCACGATGCAAAGTACCCCACACAATCATGGTAAGCATATATCAATATACGAACGGCATTGAGGTTCATCTTTTTTGCTTACCTCGATGTTTAGGACTGACCCTGAGCTCGGCGCGGAGATGGCGGGTCAAGTGCTGGCCGCCACGGAAACAACCTCGTCCGCACTTGCATTTATCTACTACGAGTTGGCAAAGAATCAGCATCTTCAACAAGAGTTGTATAAGGAGGTCCAGGCTCACGAAGGATACGAGGAGCTCGATTTGCTGAAGCTTCTGGACGCTTGTATCAAAGAAGGTCTCCGATTCCGCCCCCCAGTCGCTCTGACGGGAAGCCGCTTAGTCCCTAAAGGAGGCATGGACGTTCTTGGCTACTATCTCCCTGCTGGAACCGTTATTACGACCCAGTCTCTATCCATGAGTCGTCAGAGACCCGACCTTTTCCCAGATTTCGACAGCTACAATCCTTTCCGTTGGCTAGATGACGAAAATAGCGCTGAAAAACGCCGCCTGCTTGTTCCGTTTGGTATCGGAGCCCGGCGTTGCCCAGGAGGAAATATGGCCACGTACCAGATGCGGCTTATACTAGCCGCCACTTTCCGCGCGTTCAAAGTCACATTGGCGCCCGAAACAACCCCTGAGAAGATGGCACCATTTGAAGCGAACGGCTATCGGTCCCGTCACGATAGGTGCGACTTGATCTTTACGCCTCGATCAGTGTGATATGGGTTACTATATACGTCATTAGTTACACAATATGCAATATGTTCGTGGCATTTCAATGTCAAAGCGCTACAGACATATGTCAGCCATATAATACTGGAGGCGCAGAGGGCTGATCCAGTATATAGATAGGCATATTGCACATCGTAGACCTATTCGTTTATGAATCAATTTTCTACTTTGAGCAGTTTCTAGTAGCTACGGCCTGCTTAAGCTACCCAGACCAACTCGGTCCCAAACTCGCGACATTCCATCCATCATCCCGAACCTCATCTTTCCTCTTTTTCCCTTCGCAAATCGTTAGCAGTTGCTACTAATACGCAAATCTTTATGGAACAATTGTCTCACCAAAAGCGTGCATATTCCTTTCCTCGACCTTCTTGTCTATATTTGCCTTTGCTGCGAGAAATCTATCTGCTTCTTCTTCGCTCATGTTGCGGTATTTTTGAAGGTTTTCCTTTTCTTTCTGGCGTCTAGCGAGCAATTGGGCTTCGGTAGGCTCATCGATTGTTGTTGGCACGAGGCGAGCATCCTCTTCTTGGTGCGCAGTTTGCTTTTTGGCGAAGGGATTTAGTCTTGAAAACCTGGAAGATTTGGTAGTGGTAGTAATTTCAGAGGACTGCGTATCTGTACTAGCATGATATAGTGATGAAGAAGGTTCGGATGGCGCATGTTGGTGGTTCATTTTGGCATGGCGGAATATGTCTCAAATTCTTGTAGTAAATCTTTCAGCTGCTGCTTGATAATAGCTTCGCAACCCCTTCCAATATCTTTAAAAGTACCGGCAAAGATTGTTATTGCTGCGATTACGAGGCTGCGCTATGAGGCTGTGCAAGCAGGCCCGGAGTAGAGAGTCGCTTCTGCCTAAATACGCCAGGGATCTCTTTCACCAAGTAGATTAACCTGCAGGGTGTGGAGCGAGTACTCGTATCACCACAGTCAGCAGGTTGTTCCTCAAACCCAGAAGCATCGAGGGCGCATTCAGCTTGCTGCCATCGTCCACGTATCGCAATAGTAAGACATGCTGTCAACATCTGCCGCCCTTTTTTGGCATCCGAGAGGTTTCTATTACACTAATGATTAAGCACTTGTATGGCATCCTAAATGAAAACGTTGGTGCAATGTTTGGAAAGTCGGCAAAAGAAAGATATCAAAAAAGATCAAAAAAAAGAGAATGGACTCGCGGGGAATCGAACCCCGGACCACTCCCAAGTCAGTTTCTAGGGGCGAGAACACCTTGGAAATGCTAAGGGAGTATTATACCACTAAACCACAAGCCCATAACATGTTTTGATACCATATTTGATGGCTTTTCACTATATATTTTTGTAATTTCAATTTTTCACATCAAAATTGTCCTTATGGTTTGTGACCAACAATTTTTTTCGCTTCTTCGTGAACAGAAATGGGCAATCTATTACACAGTTTCTGCACGAAACCATCGGGTAATCTTTTATGTTCCATGACTCGTTGGCCAGATGCATACAGCATGACCTGGATCACCATGCGAAGGCAAATTCGACTTACCACTTTTGGTTTTTTTCAAATATTGTCGTGTTACATTGTTGCGTCTCAACATAATGAGTGTCTCAACAGTTCAAGAGCGCCCTATCAAAACTCCGCACTTACGTATCACCATCCGAATGCGCTCGGAAGCCCTGAAAATACAAGAAAGTATAAAACTGTACGGTACTCTCTGTGCATATTATTTTGCTATCATTCTAAAGCCTCCGTAGGGTAGGTAGAAGTGCGAGCTCTGTCTGCTCAATTGCGTCACCCGCACTCATTAATTGTTGAGGCTATCCACTGTAGGGTTGAAACCGAGAATAAGGTTTGAAAGACATGATTTCGTGGCAGGCTGTACATTCAAGGTACGCCTTTTTCGCCTTTGGTGCCGACGGCTAATGATACAGCATTTCAGTGCCCCCTGGCAGCCTCAGCGCTTCGAGGCTCGCGTTGAGCGGGACCACCTGTATACGTTACGCTGGCCATGCTCAGGCGACTTCACCAGTTCGTGACGAAAACTGTCGCCTATGTTTTCTTTTCTTGACTGTTTCACACCTTGTCTTGATCTGCCGAAAAGTGGAAAAATTCGAATGTCGTAATTCTAGTAAAGACTGATTTGTGATCACCTTTCCGAGGAACATATACATGGTAAATGTCTTTGCAGAATGAATCATTGAACTCGTAACATATGCCCAAGTATTTGAAGTGTAATTCTGACACAAGAAGCTCTCATACAAGGTCCCGTAGCCCTATTCTGTAAAAGACGTGTGAACATAGATAACGGCACAGCACCATTGTGCATCGATAAGGGCATGGAAAAACTCATGTTAATAGAGAAAACTGCTATGCTCAAGCTGCTGGCGATTCTCGCGATGAGTATCCAAAGGAACATTTTTACAGCTTCACCGCGTCCGCTGCCCTACCTTTTGATGTCTATTTACTGCTTAACTGTCCTTGGTATTTAGATTAGCAACTTCTCATATTATACACCATGAAATCTTCAGGATTAAAAAAGCTAGATACCCAATGCATTGTAAGTACTTATTCTATCATGATGATGTATCGGTGGGAAAAACCAAATGATGAGATTAAGTGTGAAATATCCATTCAATCCTTTTGGTTTTACCCCATCAAGTAAGAGGCTCCTTCAGGAGATGCACTTGCGTCTTTACTCAGCAATCTGACCATTGACTGAAGTTCCCAATCCTGTGCTTTTTTTATCACCGCTGCCCTCACCTCATCAGCGAGCTTAGCTCCAACCTCTTCCAAAAGATTAAACATCGCAGTATCTTCACGGTCTATCGCCATTGCAAATGCTCCCTGCAGAGCATCATCTTTATTTTCTATGCTCCCACAGTAATCTCACAAGCATCCTCGGTCCACACATTGCCGCAAATTCCATCGCATGATCGTGCTTTGCTTCATCACCAAGCAAGAACTTCACAACATCTTACTCTAGAAGCGTGACTGAGCAGGTTATAGTCCCTTTGCTCAAATCACCAGCGCCTCACAAATAATTCTGCTGGGCAGCGAGACTGAAATAACAAAGCATCATCATCGGCATGAATGTTGGCCCCCTCTTTTTCAAAACAAAAAAAAACTTCGCGATATCTGCTTGACCCCGTATTGCTGCAACGCCGATTCGCACAGGTATTGGATTCGTACTCGGCGATGTGTGGTTTTGCATCCTCTAAAAGCCGAATGAATATTCCTAGACTACAAGTTTTATCCAGCGCAGCGAGTCGTTGGCCAGGGATATATCCTGGCGCAATCAGACCTCTGTGCCACGAAGGATCCAGAGCGAGATCGATTAGTTCAGTATGGTCATTGATCATGGCGAAACCAATGATCAAAGCAGGGCGAATGCATATGTGCGGGGCCTCGCTGGAATTGTCAAATATAAAAAATTTGACGATTTCAATGTGGTCGCGATGGGATGTGGCGCGGAGGGGCGCTAAATATAAAAAGCTAGCGAAGAAATATCAGTACAAGGCAAAAGAGGGGTGAAAGAGAGTCCTTAATAGTGCGGGTGGCCTTCACAATTGCAACGTTCTAGAACTAATTCAACAACAAGGCCTTTCTCACCTATCCAAGCTGCAGCACTGCATAGATGGCGTCTGAAATTGAGAGATGATTCGTCAGCCTCTCCTTCGGTCACGTCTGCGGACGCAGCGACGAAGCCGTGTTCTCAAGGTGGGTAATGGTAATGAGTTATGTGGGAGGGTCAGCATTATGCAAAGTTCTAGTACGCATTCTCTGACATTGTCGTCAGTGCGAGCTCCTATCGTAACAGATGTCTCGTCCGCAGAGGCATTGCGATAACGGCAGATATGCTGGGTAATGAGGAGCAGTGTTATCATATCCTGACTTTTGCGATGGGCATGCAAGAGCGCTTGGTATGCAAGGTACTCTGCCCAGAAATCCAGGGCATCGATGATACGGCTGTATAAATCTTCACAGTCGAGAATGCTGGAGTTGAAGATGGCGGTAGTGGCAATATTGGCAAAGCGTTCTGGCAGCTCAGGTTAATGCTTCGTTGACCGTTTGATCCAGGGATGTTGAAAACTAACTACAGACAAATCTCAATCGCAGAGCGCCTTTTATACTGCGCACGTAGGCTCCTTGGATGGGGATTGCGAGAAGTAGTTCATCAGGTAACAATGCAAACGACAACACTGTTTTCTGTCCTATCTGTCGAAGACCGCTTTAGGAATGTTAAGGTAATTTTGGTTGTGGGTTAATACACGGATATTAGAGCGAGGTGTAGTGACGGCCCGTGAAGTACTACGATCTGTAGGGTGTAGATGCATGCTAGTTCGAAAGAAGGCTGGGGTGATGTTCATGAAGAGACTGAAACGATTAACCAATTGGGAGAAGAATTCAATATTATAGCTGTCTGTTCGATTTGCTGGCGGAAGGACCATAAACAAGTAAATGTTAGTGAAGAATATCTCAGCTCAGGAGGCGATGACGATTCCAGAGACGCAGAAGGGTACTGATGGAGACTGCCGAATACTAGCAAGTTCAACATGATTGATTATAATGCCGAAACTCGAACGACAGATCAAGCTTCCGGTATGCTTCCACGGCTTATACTAAGGACAACGCCTCCCTGAAAGGCAAGATGTTGATGAACAAACAACCTCTCCTCATTCGATAGAGGCCACAGTGTTTCTGCAAACCCTTAACGATTAGTATAATTCACATAAAAGGAAAATTTCAACCATTGGCGCTGGGCCAGTGCAAATTTAAGGACTGGGCCACCAAACGAAAATTGAATAGAAGTTGTCTCGAGGGACTTGATATTGAGTATACATCATGACCCATCCAGAGGACTCTCCGTCACCACTGACTCCTCAGTCATATCTTCCTCATTCGCAGCCTCTAGTTTCTGTGAGTTACTGATATGATTTACTGTCACCCTAGTCATGGCTTTCTAAGTAGTCATACCTGTCGCGTCACAATCTTCTCTCTGTTTATCTTCAAAATCGCAAACTTATACTAGGACCTTCGTTACACTTGCTGCAAGCTACCCAAAGTCAAGTTAATTTCAATACCGTAGAATCCTTCATCAAAGCCAACACAATGGCTCTTCCACTCGAACCTGGCAGCTCGCGCCGTCGTGCAGTTGATTTGAAATTCGAGTGGGAAAAAGCCTGGTGCAAAGGAGGAAACCTCTCATTGGGTATGGTCAAAAACGAAGACCAAGCACATAATTTTGTCACGCCCGTCCGCAGCCCGTGGGAAGGCGATCTCATCGCAGAGTTTGAAGAATGGGGCTACAGAGAGATCCCTGGCCACCGCGCCAATCTTTGCGACTTTGGCCGTGGCCAACACGAGTTGCAGCGTGCGTTTTCCGATATGGGCATTGATCCAAGGAGTTCAGACGACATGGGGCCGAACACATGTTACCATATAGAGCATCAATACGGGCCCACTGTTGAGAGAGGTCCAAATGGGCAATGGCCTGATCCAGCGAATCAGTGGTATACCGCTGGTGGAAGGAAAATGAGAGTGAGTAGGTCCTCTGTGCTATGGCAATGGCCTGTCATTACTGACAAGAATGAAATGTAGGTCACAGAAGCCTACACGACACTCGGCATTAACCCAGCCTCTGGAATTCTTTACTTTTTCAATCGTGAGAGTCCTGCCGAAGCTGCGCATGCTAACTGGGGCGTTCCATTAGATCAAATCCAGAAGCAATCTCTGCCCGATCTCAGTCGGAGCTCAGACCATGCTTGGGGGTTCTGGCATCGCGTGAACGCTGGTGGAAATCTGGCAAATATCAATAAAATCTTCATTTGCATGATTACCAATGATATCACGTGTGCTTTGATTCAGGAGGCGCTAAGGACATATCCATTACCATCTGGAACTACGGAGGACATGAGACCACGAGGTGTTCTGAAGTGGCCTGGGATAACGTTTCCGATAGAGTCTGATGCCGCACAGGTTCTTCTTGGTGGGTCAAGTACCATGTATTCCATTTTGTGCTTAGAAAAGTTCGTGTTTTGGGCAGCACGCCGATGCTTATTATGTGTTTTGCAGGTTCACCAAACGGCCAAGCAGCGGGCTATTTCCTCGCTCAACATAAGCACCGCTTTGGCAAGAACAAATCCATTGAGAAAGTAACTGTATTTCGCCCAGATAAAGGCAACATGCCTTATTTGCTCTTCTGGGTGACAGATGCGCCGGCCGGACCTTAGGGGTAGGGGTGGAGGGAGAGGGGTAGGTAGAGTGGAGGCGTTGCTGTATGAAAGCAGATTCAAATGAT